TTTTTTTTAACCGACTTACAAGCAAACTACAGCCGACATAAGCAACCGACTCGGCGGTATATTGTACGTGCCGACTTGAGCGATTCTTGTCGCTTACAAGCTGTACATCTTGATCTTCAGGAAGATGGCCGAGACGAGGAATCCAAGAGCGGTCATGACACCACCCAGGAACACCGGTAGTTTGTAACCGAGTGAGGTGTTGACAATAGCAGCACCAATAGCGTAGTTGAGGAGCTGGCCAAAGCAGTTGGCAGAGTTCAATGCTCCAACGTACATACCGATGTCCACATCCTCCCCCATCACATGAATGACAACCGGTACGATGCAGGAGAACCAAATCGAGGAGGTGATGCCCGTGATAGCAGCAACGAACACGTCAAAGCCCTTGTTGTCGACCCAAGCCATGATCATAAGGAGCATCTGCGGGATGGTCGACATCGTGAGGACCCACTTGAGACCGAACTTACTCACCAAAAACGGGATACACCACGCGTAAACGTAGCCTACGATGTTGTATAGAAGGTCGGCAGTTCCGCCGGCAAGACTGACGCCTTCGTTGTATGCGTTCTGGGCTTCAGAGCAGGGATCGCAATTGTCTGCGTTGGTGGCTGTACCGCTGTACACCTCAAGACCAAAGAACTGTCCCTTGTTGCCGTTGTAGGCCGTGAAGCCATACAAAACGAAGAACAAGCCGAAGGAGTACACGATAAGAGCAGCGGGCAGAGTCTTGAGGCCCTGGTACACCGAGTAGAAAGCGCCCTTCACCTGGACCCAGGCGGATGACTTTTTCACTTGGTTGGGATCGAGTGGGGTCTCGTGCGCGAAGAAACAGGCGACGGCCATACAGATGATCATAACGACAGACAGCATACCTAAAAACCAGTGCAGCGTCTTGTAGGCGGCCCCGAAGATTTCGATGTATACAGCAATAACGATGGCTCCGAGAGTCGACCAAGCCTGGCCAAGAGCGGCACCAGTTGTCTGGCGGTCACCGGCAAAGTCGGCAATAAGAAGCATAGCTGGAGTTTGGACCATGTTGACAGTGATGTCCATCCAGGCGTAGAAAATGATAGTGAATACGGACGTCCATGTACGGTCAGTCTCACCGTCAGTACCGTCACCGTGGTCACCGAGAGCGTCACCGATATCACGAGTGTAGCCCATAGCAATCCAGCATATCACGCTGAGGATACCGGCGACAATGAGGTACGGACGGCGACGTCCAAGACGAGAGGTGGTGCGGTCACTGAAGACACCAACGCTGGGTCCGACAATGACACCGGCGACGGGGCCGATAAATTGGGTGAGCTGGACAGCGGTGTTGGGCAGCATCGTAGACAGGTATGGTCCTAGAGCAGCCCATTGCGCCGCCCAGGCCATTTGAACTGCCATGCGTGGCATCGACACTGCGAGTAGCAACCAGATCGACGGGTGAGGCAGCGGCTCCTCGTTACCGGTGCCGGTCACGGAGCCAGGCTTGGG